TCTATTATCCAATAAATTTCTTTCGAGAATTTGATAAGAAAAATCAGAAATTTCTAATTTCTTAAATTACTATATCCCTTAATATAAAAAATAGATCCCATTTCATCCCGTACGCCTCCGGTTACGGCGGCGCCCGACGATCTAAGATTCATGATTAATTCTAGAATCATAATATCTTTATTCTTAAGTTCCGTTTATTTCCACAATTCGAAAAGGTGACGAATCTTTTCCTCGGGGAATATATAAGATCTTTAATTCCAGTAAATATATTCATAGCCCCCCGAATGAGAAAAAACTATAAGATTAAATATAAATCTCTTTCGATAAAGTTTAAATAATTTCAAATCCTACTCCCAAATCCGATATATTATGAATACCCGACCAATTTCGGTTCACTCCTTAATTCCATATCCGAAAATGCAAAAAACCCTCCAAATCCTCCTTGGCCGATAATGAATTACAAAATCCTGAATTCTAAATTATTCCCCAAATTTCCACAAAAGCCATAAGTGGCTGCACACGATATCTGGAGGGATCTATCTCAATGATGGAAAATAATTTCATCTATCCAGATGACGATATTTTTCTGCCACGAATTCGACAACTTCCGGTCTGCCAAAACCCCTATAAATCTATAAATCCCGAAGTCCCAAAAAATCTAAACCTCAAAATTTTTAACCCCCAACCCCCGAAACCCGCAGAAACCACATTGTGGATTTTAGATTTAGTGGGGGTTTGATGCTGACTTGGGTTTTGGTCGGACTACAGATTCTCGATCATGAAGATGTAGTTCCAAGCAGACGTAGGTCGAAGGACTTAGGGCGAAGGATACAGGATTTAGGGTAGCTTCACAAGATAACATAGTAGAGTGATGATCTACCACAGGAATGCCGCAGATATGCAAGGCCATTGTAACCGGAGCAGATATATTTGGAACACTTTGGGAAACTTCGTTTCGACTCTTATAAATGCGATTTCCTCAAGCCTAAACAATCCAAGGTTCAGAAGCCTTAACCCTAAACCCTATACATCCTTTTAACCCTAAATCCTGAGGTGCGACGCTAACTTGCCTGATCGCTGATGGACAATTTCGAGTGGGCGCTCGAGTGCCCCTACTGTCTCGGCTAAAAATTGGGTAGATTTAGGATTTAGGGTTTCCCTAAACCCTAAACCCTAAACCCTAAAATAAGATTTAGGGACTTGGGGCTTCCTAGATCTCCTGAAGTTGGAATTGGAAGCCATCCAGACCCTGCACCTGAACACCCATCCTGGTCACGTTAACCTGTGGCCAACACCAGACCCAGAGTCTCTGTTGTTTAGGGTTTAGGGTTTAGGGTTTAGGGTTTAGGGTTTAGGGTTTAGGGTTTAGGGTTTAGGGTTTAGGGTTTAGGGGCCAAAAGCTCAAGCGATGCAACACCTCGCTCCTCTTTTCTTGCGCAGCTTCACTCCTGGCTGGTTCTTAGTCGGGAATGAGGGGATGAGGTACCCTATATCCTCCCTTTACAGGTACATATAGGGCCCCTACATAATCCCTTAAAGGGTAAAGAAAGGTCCCCAATTCCCTCATTCCCTACAAAGAACCACGGGGTCACGCCCCAAGTCTGGCATGTCGGCGCAGACCATTCAGGCGCTGCCGAATCCCCGCGTATCTGCGCGCAGAGCTCTCCAAGACATCGTGGGTAACTTCCTACTCTTCTTAGAGGTTCAGGCCCCAAATTTCAACAACACACAAACCCCCAAACATTCCGAAACCCTAAACCCTAAACCCTAAACCCTAAGCCCTTTCTCAGCCCCAGGATCCTAAGACCCCTGCCTGCTTCGCAGCTCGGCGAGGCTAATCGTGCGCCGACGGGCTTCCTGCACGGGAGCCTGACAAGGGGGTTTACGAAAAGAAGGGTGCCTTAGGGTTTGGGGGTTTAGGGTTTAGGGTTTAGGGTACTTATACATGAGGGATCCTACTATTTGGGGTCTATATTGGGGTCCCCTACTTTCGTCAAAATTTCCACAATGCTGCGTCATCGTCCCCTCCTTTAAGGGGTTCTTAAGGGGGTGTCTTGAAGGGAGGCTTTAAAGGAGGTTGCTTAGGGGTGCAAGGGGGTTCTCAGGGTGCTGAAGCAGTGCTTGGAAGTCTGCGAATTGGATCAGGGAGCGAAAGACAGTCGCAACTGCCCAACTTTCAAGATATGTGCCTTGAGGTCAACGCTCGCCAGCACGGCGGCGAGAATGGCTGCAATCCTGTCTGCAGCCCGGTGTACGATCGGCTAAACCCTAAACCCTAAACCCTAAAGCCACTAAGTGTGCAGCTAGGTAGGTGCGTCGGCATTTGTTCTCAGTCACTCGCACTTCCCTGACCAGCCGCATCGGTGCAAACAAGCATGTAAGTGCTTCTGCTGAGGCGGAAGTGTCATGTATTGATTGGGATGATCCCCCTTATACGTAGTCCTTAATGGGGATTAGGATAATTGGCATTGTAATCCCTATTAAGGACTGCTTGGCAACTTCTTTCACACAACAAAGGAAAGCGGGAAGGTATCCTTTTCATGGAAGACGTCTTCGTGATTGGGCTTGACTGCTTCGTGCACTGGTGTGGAAAGCTGGTGTTGCAAATAGGACGGAATTGAGGACTATGGGGATTTCCGAAACTAGGGGCACCCCTTATATACCCCAAGATACTATCTAATCCCTTTTCAAGGAACCCCCAAAAAGGGGTTTCGGGTTTGGGGTTTACGGGTACCCTGTTTTCGGAAAATCCCCTTATGATCGGAAGCTGTATAAAAGCAACAGCCATCAGTCTGTTCCTTGCCGACTTCTGCTAATGCCCGAGTCGTTCCCTGTGATACGGTGGGCTGTGGAGCCTAAGAAGGTTTAGGGTTTAGGGTTTAGGGTTCAACCCTAAACCCTAAACCCTAAATCCTAAACCCTAAACCCTAAACCCCAATCGTTCAAGCTCCAAGGGTCATGTGGACGCTCATTGCGCTGCCGGCGATGCGGCTGATCGTCGACTCGGAGAGACTCCCGAGGCGCCAGTGAAGCGGCTTGAAACCTGTTTAGGGTTTAGGGTTTAGGGTTTAGGGTGGTAGGGTTTAGGGTTTAGGGTTTAGGATTTAGGTTTAGGGTTTAGGGATTTAGGGTCAGGGTTTCGGGGTTTAGGGGTGGTTCTTAGTGTGGGTTGGTGGGGAATGAGGGAATATGGGGGGTACCCTACATGATCCCTTTTGAAGGGTATAATATATGTCTATATCAACTGCAGAGGAAAAGCCCCGAAACTACTATTTTTGCTTAAGAATACCGAAATAATATTTTTCCTTATTAAGGGTAATATGGAGCTTGGTATTTTTCATTCCTTTGTGGTTCTTAAGCAAATAGTAGGACACTTCCTACAATCTTGATCGGAACGGCCCCAAACCGAAACCCCAACCCTAAACCCTAGTAAGCCACTGATTCGGAGGCTTAAGCTAACCAACCCAAACCCCTAAACCCGAAAGCTACAAAAGGTAGTTGTTTTGGGTTCTTAAACCACTAGGTGCTGGAGTCTGGAGTTTACTAGTTCAATAGGAACCCCCAAAAAGGGTACCCCCGACTTTCCGGAAACCCCAAAACCCCAACACCCTACACCCCACACCCTAAACCCAAAACCCTAAACCCTCCCTAAACCCTAAACCCTAAACCCTAAACCCTAAACCCTAAACCCTAAACCCTAAACCCTAAACCCTAAACCCCAAACCTTAAACTCTCCCTTACAGGGCCACCTTGGAGCATCATCATCTCCTGTCCGCGGAGTACACGCTGCAGCCTTCGGGAGCTCTTACCTCATTCCCCCATTCCTTACTAAGGCCAGGGGGTCATGAGCTTAAAGGTTGTAGGCTTCAGGAATTCAGGGTTTGGGGCTCTCATTCCTTCAGAAGAACAACGTATAACACAACATGGCATCGTGGAACATCATAGAATGCGTAGCAGGATATCATACAGCAGGCAATATCACCGAGCATCGTGCAACAGCATTGTAGCAAGCATATATACCGAACCACAGCTGCAAGCACAAACGCTGCCAAACAAAGCCTAGCCCCGTACCACTCCATGCAATGACAAAGTGCGCAAGCCGAACGGCAACAACAGAGGCCCTACGAGTACATCAACACTCGATGGTTCAGCGGCATTCTTCTCGCGTGCAGTCGTTGGTGGCCATCCGTGCTTATTTTTTACTCTAGCCATTGCACACCGTCATTCAGCCTAATCGCCGTGGCCTCATGACCGGTTCAAAAAAATCACTCTTCAGTTTTGCTTGCTTCCATGCTTGGGTCATGAGCAGCAGAATCCCAAGCACAAAGCTGTGAATAATTTCCGGCAGCCCAGTACTAGGTTGAGCTAGGTAGTGCTACAACTGTACTGTGCTCTGAGCACCAAGAAGCAGCTTGGCAAAACATCCCTTTTTGCAAAGCTGCTACGATCATCTACATGCAGGCGTCGGCTGCACTGACGTAGGGAAGTGCCCCTAAACCCCAAACCCTAAATATCTGAAGCTTTACCGAGGGTTGGCTTTTTCCCCCACCTGCCTAGCTAACTTGTCGGCTGCACTGGTTTGGGGCTTAGGGTTCAACCCCAATCTCTCCCACCCACCTGTAGGACCATAGCCTGGTGTTGGCAGCCAGTGTAGGAATCTCTCCCGTGAAGCTCAAAGATGCACGGTGGGCGTCCTGCGGTCACTCAAGAGGCGCTCAGAAAGGCCCCTGAACGTTAGACCTCTGCACCTCCCCAGTGTTCAAGATTCCATGATTGAAGTAACAGGCTGACAAGCCGAAGGAACTGAACAGGGGCTTATCTTAGATGGAGGGGACTGCGGACTCTTTGGGCCCAAACCTGAGCGGCCTGTTACCTAGTTGTCCAGTACCTGGGGGAACTAAAGGTTAACCGCTGGGATTCTAAGGGGAGATTCTACTACCCCACAAAGGTTACAGGTTACCTACGTACTCTACAACTCAGGTTACTTTTGGATCATGCTCCTGAGAGATGGACACGAAGCGGATCTCGCGCCCCTGACTTCGGGCGCGAAGCCAATGTATCTGACACAGGTCCGCTTCCCGGTAGGTGCGGAGCCACCTGAATGCCGCAGCAGCTATCTCAAGAAGATGGGGTTTAGGCCTTTAGGGTTCAAAAGATCTCAGAGTACAGGGTTTAAGGTGCAGAAGAGTCCGGCTGAGCCTGGAGTCAAAAGAAGGGTTCGGAAGAGCAGTGTTGCATTGGGTTTGGGGTGCTGGTAACGACCCCCGAACTCTGAAGAATCGTTGTTTCTGCACACTGCGAACCCGCGACTTTCTAGCCCGGACACTTGGCCAGCTGTGGCCCGGCTTCCGAAAAGTACGTGAGGTCATCGGCCGCGAGTCGGAGCTCGTGCCGAAGTCTTCTGTGCAGATAGCTTGCCTGACGTAGGGTTTAGGGTTTAGGGTTTAGGGTTTAGGGTTTAGGGTTTAGGGTTTAGGGTGAGAGCAGGATCAGCACTTGCCATGCGTAGCATCGCATCTTAATCGTTCTGGTGTCCAAGCATCGTCTGCACTCATTGCCAGAAGCGACTCGATGCCTTTCGTTGCTTCGTCGATTGCTGAGCTCCTCTACAGAGACTCTAACAGCCACCAGTGCATGTATGTATCTGTATATATATATGTATGTATATATATATACAGATATATGTATAAATATAGGTGCAAAAGTATAAGCAGGCCAGGTCATGGAAGTAGCGCAAGAAACAACTGTGGGTACAGGTTTCGCTGCAGCAGGTCGCTCATGCGTCATGGAAACTGCGGGGTGCTGCTGGGCTGTGGCTTGCTTTATGGGTAGTTTTCCAAATAAGGGTCCTTACTATACGGGTGCTGCGGGAGCCCAAAAAGGGACCCTATTTTTTGTTTGCTGCACCGTGTGTTTGAGGCCGCGACCTGTCGACAAGTAACAATGAGTGGCCGCTTCAGGCTGCTTGTGACTGCAGACAAAATAAGGAAACTAATACGGTGGGATACCGTCAAAACCATCGAATTTCGGGGTCCACTTGTGGCCGAGCGATTTCTTATCAGGGAGACATAGGCTTTGAGCAAGGCTAGCTTGGAAGAAAATCAACATCTGATGGTGAATACGCATGGATCCATAGAAGGCGCATGAAGAGATGCGGTGGAAGGGTTCCTGAGCCCTGGGTGGGTTTCCAGTTCACCTGTCAGGTCCCAGGGTGCATAGAGAGCGGCCAAAGAATCGTTCTTAAGAAATAGGGCCCACATCTCAAGCCTTTGATCTTGTCGATTTTGTCGATTTTTTTGCAGTTTGTGAATTTCAGCCAGACTTGCAAAGGAGCAATCTGAAGGCACCGAATCTAAGCCTCGAATCTTGAAGATAAATAGCACGTATTGTGGATTGCACAACTGCGTTAAAAGGGAAGTGTTCTTGGTCTGTGTTTGCTCTGTTTGGGGTTTAGGGTTTAGGGTTCAGAGAACTCAGAACATCCTTCATGAAACCATTCAGGTACCACTTGCCATTTCCAATGAGCTCGACACTTGCAAGCCTAAACCCTAAACCCTAAAGCCTAAACCCTTGAGACCAAATAAATAGAAATTGTATGTGGTATCATTCTGAACTTCCCAAGTTATTTGTCTAAACAGCTGACAAGCTGAGTTTAAGTACATTCATCCAAACACCTCTGGGAGGCCAAATGCTCAATTTACCTAAACCTCTGGGACTCCCTGACCCCCCCTCCCCCCGACCCCCCCACACCCCCCAAAATGAAACAAACATAGCTCCAAAAAACAAAACATTTCGGTCAACACGTTTCGGTCAAAACGTTATTGGGACCCAAACCCTATACAATTTCTGCAACCGCTAAGCCATAGCCCTAAACCCTAACCCTCATGAGCCCGAATATCCCAGCCCTTCGCAGCCCGTGGTCCCGCTCCCGTCGCTGGCATCACTCGCGTCTGAATTCCTCGGTTGGCTCTAGAAACCCTTTGAGAAAATATTCCCAGGTCCTCTTCAACCCGATAAGGGAGAAACTGTGAATATATCCCAAGACCCTAAGCCCTAAGCCCTAAATAAGGTCCGGTGAAACCCAATCGGGAAACTATCAAAAGTGTCCGAAGGGCAACCCTAAACCCTAAACACTAAACCTAGATTCAACCGGCAGCAGAGAGTTGGGCCATCCAGTTCGCTCAGGAGGTCTTCCGCGTCCAGGCTTTGGCTGGCGCCGGCCTGAGACGATCGTTCGCTGCGGGTCATTGTTCGATTCGGGTTTAGGGTTTAGGGTTTAGGGTTTAGGGTTTAGGGTTTAGGGTTTAGGGTTTAGGGTTTAGGGTTTAGGGTTTAGGGTTTAGGGTTTAGGGCTTAGGGCTTAGGGCTTAGGGCTTAGGGCTTAGGGTTTAGGGTCTAGGGTTTAGAAAGCCGCGTGAAGGCCGCACACTCTGCCTCAAGCTGCCCATCATCCTCCAGTCCCGTGGCTGGGATGCTGTGCTTGCGCACTGCGGCCGAGGCACCACGTTGACGTGCAGTTGCTCAAGTCCCTCTCTGACTCGCTCCAGCCGTGCCTGTTTAGGGTTTTTTTTTTAGGGTTTAGGGTTCAGGGTTCAGGGTTAGGGTCTAGTCGCAAGTTTAGGGTTTAGGGCTGCGTCTTCATTTTGGGTTTAAGGGGGGTCGAGGGTTTTGTCCATTATCTACGTCATGCTGCAAACATATGAGTCTTGGCTTGCCTGATGTCCCGAAGAGCGTGCAAGCCTGTAATGTTCCGCAGTGGCTCGGTTGCTATCGGAGACCCCTGTCCTCTCCACAGTGGCGGTGAATAAACTTGAGCCCTAAAACATACTCCCCTGAGAACCCAAAATGTATTGTTTCGAATATCCCCTTGGGCTTTACAGAAAAAATGACATCCTAAGGGGGCCGTAGTAAACCCTAAAAAACTTTCCTATACTCCCCTCAGAACCTTAATAACAACAATATGTTTGATATCCTCTTGGGTTTTATATAAACCAAAAAATGCCCAAGGGGGATACTTGGAGGTTCATGGCCATTTGTAACTGTACTTATAATAACCCACTTATAAGCCCCTTAAGTGCCTTAATATGGTTATAAGTACGGTACTAAGTACAGCTATAACCCGTTTAATAAGTACCATGAACCTCCAAGTATAGTTTCCGGGCAGAATTTGCACAGTAGGCTCGGGCCTCCGCATCTGGAGCCTGCCCTGACCGTCGGGAAGGCCGAAGGAACTGGCGACCGACCATGACCTCTTCTGGCGCACCCCTAAACCCTAAACCCTAAACCCTAAACCCTAAACCCTAAACCCTAAACCCTAAACCCTAAACCCTAAACCCTAAACCATGGCCCCGTTACAGCCAATAAGGGAAGGTACAAAATGTCCGACATGTCCAAGGGCCTACCTAGAAAACGAGAACGATGGCTGGCTAAGCCCCATTATACGCAGACATCCCTAGAATATGAGGGTTTCAGAAAATTTGGGCCTCTTCTTGGGGATCCTTATTCTTAAAAAGGGTAGTACTCTATTTGGGGTCTACGAGGGGTAGCCATATAGCTTTTGGGAAATACCCAAATCCAGTTCTTCGTAAACCCCCGACGTAATAGACGCGCTGTCGGCGCTGGGGCAGACCATAGTTGGATGCCAGGACCTTTCAGCGGATAGGTTTAGGGTTTAGGGGTTCGTGTTTAGGGTTTACTCCATCTAAGGGTTTAGGGGAGCCTAGCGTGCGTGTCTCATGCCATGCTCCAGTCTAGTCGGAACGATTGGCTGGGGCGACAGTTGGCGTCAAGAACGGCTCTGCACCAAAGCAAAGACCCCCAAACAGGTCACTGAAAGCCCTTTCACCCTAAACCCCTCAAAGCCCTCAGCTGAATTCATAAGTCTCGGTTTCAATCCGCCTGGTATGCGTCCACCTCATAATCTCCAGCTTGCTCCAGAAGAGCTAAGATGGCATCGGCCGGAAGATTTCCCTGTGGGTCCTGGCAAGATCTGTCAAGCCCCCCCCCCCTCCCCTAGGGTTTAGGGTTTAGGGTTTAGGCTTTAGGGTTTGCCCTATAGCAAACTTCGGTACCTTGGGTAGGAAACAGAATTTTCTTTGACCCCACCGATTCATGGATTTTCTTTGCCACCTGCCTGGCTGACTGAAAGTCGCACTTGGGTTGGGGTTTTAGGGTTTAGGGTTTAGGGTTTAGGGTTTAGGGTTTAGGGTTTAGGGTTTAGGGTAGGGTTGAGTTTCTGCTTTCTTTTGCCTCCCGCCTGGGCTGACGTCCACTAGATAGGGTATACGGGAGTGCAGGGCTTTAGGGTAGGAACCCTAAACCCTAAACCCTAAACCCTAAACCCTAAACCCTAAACCGACTTCAGGGCATCCTGTCTGCAGGCTGCCACGAGGTCTTCCAGAATCACCACCCGGGGCTGGTACTCCATGATGTACTTCACAGCGGCGAAGAAGCGGTCCGGGTTTGGGCCATGTGTGCCCGCGTTGGAGATGTAGATGTCAGGCTGCACCTTCTCAGGGCTGACTTGCGTAGAAACCATCCGGGTTAGGGGGCTCGGGTTAGGAGATTCGGGTTCCTACCGTGGGGGTTCGGGTTTACGGGTGAGGGGTGGTTGTCCGAACATGTGAGTGCACCCTCGTACCTTTGGCATCGGCATCCAGCGGCCAGAAACAAGGCAATAGCAACCACGGTCTCGGCCAATCATGCTGCCAAATAGCCCTCGGCTCATGGGACAAGTTTTCACATCTTCCTACGAACTGCCCTTTCGCAACCTCAATGATCCCGGAACCGCATTCCACCCACGGAAGCACGCTCACCCTAAACCCTAAACCCTAAACCCCAAACCCCAAACCCTGAACCCTAAAAACTCTGCTGAAGGTCTTGGACAAAGGCGCGTTCTGGTCTGGAGTCTTGCGAAGCCAGGAGCTGCTGACCTAGGCACGCTAAGCCCCAGCCAGCGTAGCAGACCTAAATATTTTTGCACATGTATGCATATGGGCAGGACACATCAAGAAAGAGATATCAACAAATAAGTATAAATATAAGTACATAAACACACACACATATGTATATTTTTCTAAATAAATAGATAAATAAATAAATATATATATATATATATGTTTTCTAATTCTCTATAGCAGACCCGAAGCGCATCCGCACGCAGCCATGAGGCTCGAGGGATCGGATTCACATGCGAAGATGTGCCTGAAGGGCACCCCCAGGTCTGCCAGTGCCTCAACAGGTCGTCGCTCCCACGCCATGGGTGCATGGTCGAAGCTCTAAGCATCACCAGCATGGGCTATTATCCCAAAAAACCCCTTAAAGGCCCTTTATAGGGTTGATTCTGGGGGTTACTTCCTGGTAGGCAAAGGGATGAGATGCTCAGCGTGCGCGTTTGGACAGTAGAACCGTCTGGATGCAGTAGGATGCTCCATGTGCAGCTTAGCAGCCGAAACTGGCCCAACACTGCCACCGCAGTCTGTCGCAAGCGCAAGCCTTGTGGTTGCGGAGGGCAGCTGGATTGTCTGTGCAGGATGTTTGTCTTGAACGAGTCATCACCCTAAACCCTAAATCCTAAACCCTGAGTCACATGGCCAATTCCAGCAGAGTCGCTCCCTCGCTGGCAGCCGGGCACCTAGCAGGCTGAGCCAGGAGGCCTTGTCCGCCCCATCGCGCTCAACCCGGGCCCTCTTGGCTGCTCCCAGGATCTCAGGGCCGGATCGCTTCGACTGTGCCATAAGAAAAAAAAACAACTATGTACAGGCACAGGCTCTCCAGCCAGAAATCTGCGGGTCGAAGAATTTGCGCGATGAGAGGCATCAATCGCATCGTCATGATTGGACAACACCACCCGAGGACGGGTTTTGCCAGGGACGCAGCGTTCAGGACTGCTGGGTACAAGGGGGAACATCCCATCCCCCAAACCTTAAACCCTTTTTGCTAAACCCGAAGCCCACATCCTCACATCCACTGCGCCCCTCCTCCACGAGGGCTGGGGTCGCGGTGCGAGGCTTCTCTCATGGGACGAAAGTAAGCTGAATATTGGGATGTTCCCCCTTATACTAACAGTCTTCCATAGGGATGATATTAGGGGGTACCAAGGAATTGAGGACCGTTACTATACGGGGGAATATACCAAGCTGACCTCTATCTTTAGAAGACCTCTGTCTTTAGAAGCCTTAACAAGGGCTCTCGTGCGGTTCGATCTTTGGATGAGTTCAGGACTACAGAGGGAAATTGATGCAGGTGGAGGGTTCGCCGTACAGGATAGAACTTATGAGCGGCAAAAACCGGGCCGGGACGTGAACAAATGCGGGAGTGAACGATCTCAAACCCTATTTCACTTTGCTTGCTTTACCATGAAGCCTGTCTCCTGTCTCAGCCCCAACAAGACCACCAGGCTTGGCTATTAGCATGATCCTCAGTCGCTCGACTGGAATTCCCGCTGCACGCACATAGCTGGAGCTACTCGCAAAGTTCTTGGTATGCATGACATGAACTGGCCATACTGTTCACCGTGTTAGTGTGTTATGTTGGGAGTATCCCCATTATACTAACAGTCCTTACTAAGGATGATCGTACCCCCTAGTGTAATCCACATTAAGGACTGTTAGTTTAAGGGGGACCATCCCCAGTGTCATTCATTACCCAGCGCCGATCTCGCTATTGCGACATCACATGGCACAAACGTGTGGCATTCCCAATCAATTTGAAACATGACGTTGCGGACAAAAACCTGCCATCTGATCTGTCGCTAGCGTTCTTCAGCCATGGCTGAAGAATTCTGTAGCAAGCTCTCCCTTTTTACTCGACCAGCAGATCCGCCACGGCAGGCTGATGGCCCCCTTGTACAAGTCTGAGAATCTTGGTAAGGCGATCGTTGGGGAGGAAGGCGCCCACAGTAATCACCTGACAGTTCAGGTTTAGGGTTTAGGGTTTAGGGTTTAGGGTTTAGGGTTTAGGGTTTAGGGCTTAGGGCTTAGGGTTTAGGGTCTGGACTCTCAGCACAAGCAACAGGTGAACGTCTCCGAACCTCGATGCCGGCGAATGATACCCCAAACCGTAAACCCCAACACCCAAACCCCCAAAATCCGCAAAACCCCCAAAAATCTTAATAACCCTAAACCCCCTAACTCCCGGAAGAGCAATTTCGGAGAGAACAGAAACCCTCAACCCTAAAGGGGCAAGCCACAGGCTCCAGCCAGTGTGTGACCGTGGGAGCCTGGCAGAAGAGTAGTACATGTAGCAAGAGAGTCGTACGGTAAGATGGTAACTGCAAGATCCATAAATAAATGAATAAATACAGATATAAATATAAATACAGATGTAAATATGAACATAAATATAAACACACACACACACACACCCTATTTAGGCCATATTCCATGATCATGAACATCTTGTATTCATGTACTGATACAATGATATGAAGATTGACGTCCTGACAGATCCTTTTCAGTCATTGCAGGCCTGGACAGGAAAAGCGAACTCGGACTCCTCGCAGGAGACAATTGCTTGTGGGTTTAGGGTTTAGGGTTTGGGGTCTAGGGTTTGGGGTTTAGGGTTTAGGGTTTGGGGTTTGGGGTTTAGGGTTTAGGGTTTGGGGTTTAGGGTTGGCAGGAGGACTGGCTCCAGTCCTTCAACTCCGATTCCGCAACATGGATGACGTCCTGGAAGCTGCCACATGTCATCGTCTTTGGGATGTTCCTTCTTATGCTAACAATCCTTAATAGGGATTGTAATAGGGGTGCTATGATCCCTATAAAGGACTGCTAGTGCTAGGGGGAACATCCAACATCCTATATGTTGTTTACACTCTGAGGTGGGGTCAGTTCGCTGAGCACCTTGCCAAGTCTTGAGACAGCGGACTCCGCCAATACTTGCCCGTCCGGTATAAGCCAAACCACTGTATGGAGGGCACTCCTACCTTTAGGGTTTAGGGTGGGCAGGGCTTTTTTTACACCCCGAATTGGCTCCCTTGGCACCCTGTTCAGGATTTGGGTTTTTTTCGCACCCTGTCCGGACTGCCCTGGGCTGGGTCTGGGGCTTTTTTCGCGCCCGGGCTGAGTTTAGTGCTGCACATGTTTAGGGGCGTTTCCCAGCTTGGGGGTCGGCTTCTTCAGGGGGATTGGAGTCATTTGGGGATGAGGCCAGGCTGGGTCTCATAGCTGTGCTTAGGCTTAAGGCTTACAGGTTGAGTTTCGGTGTTATGGCCAGGTTTAGGGTCCATGGAGAGACCTCTACCGTTACGTTTCGGGCTTAGGGCGCTTTGGGGTCTTTTGTTTTGGGGGGTCTTTTTTTTATCGATTTTCTTGGTTTTCTCTAGGAAAAACCCTACTTTCCTTACATTTTGGACGGATTTTCTGTCATTTCCCTTAGGTTTTCGTTGGTTTTCCATAGGGAAAACCGTATTTCTTTTAGATCTTAAACGGATTTCCTGTCATTTCCCTTAGGTATTCCTTGGTTTTTCCTAGGGTGTCATTTCCTTGAGGTTTTCGTTGGTTTTTCCTAAGGAAACCCTATTCTGCTTACATTTTGGACGGATTTCGTCAAACGTAATAGCGTACCTTGCTTTTCCTTCTTTTTCCTAGGGAAACCCTATTTGGTTCGTTTCTTGGTTTCTATCATTCCCTCTATATTTTCATCGGATTCATACTACTTTTCGTCAGATTTCTTATTAATGCTTCTTTTGTGATTCGCTTTCTTGGTTTTTCGTAGGAAAAAGCTACATTCCGTCCATACTTTCATGGGATTCATACTACGTTTCGTAATATTAACTATCTTTATGGTGTGTTTTCTTGCTTTTCCTTGTAAAAAGCTGCATTCCCTCTATGTTTTCATATTATTCATACGCTCACAGGATGGGTGTCAACAAGTTCTTGGGCTTTGAAGCGCGCTCTGCACGGCTTGAAAAAAAGCGGGAGGGTTGGGGGGGGCGCAGCCCCAGCCCCCCCCCTCACCCCATTTGCAAACGCAATGTGATGGGCTTCAACAGGCTTTGAAGCACGCTTTGCACGGCTTAAAACAGCTTCGCACGCTTTGCACTGCTTAGAAAGCGGGGGGGGTTGGGGGGGGCGCAGTGCCCCCCCATTTGCAAACACCCTGCTCACATGATGGGTGTCAACAAGTTTCTTGGGCTTTGAAGCACGCTCTGCACGGCTTTAAACAAAAGCGGGGGGGTTGGGGGGGGGGGGGCAGCTCCCCCCCATTTGCAAACACAATGCTCACACGATGTTTTTTTCAACTAGTTTCTTGGGCTTTGAAGCACGCTTGGCACGGCTTAAAAGAACGGGGAGGGGTTGGGGGGCGCAGCCCCCCCCCCCGCCCCACTTGCAAACACCCTGCTCACACGATGGGCGTCAACAAGTTTCTTGGGCTTTGAGGCACGCTCTGCGCGGCCAAAAAAAAAGCGCGGGGGTTGGCGCAGCCCCCCCCGGCAAACACAATGCTCACACGATGTTTTTTTTTTCTCAACTAGTTTCTTGGGCTTTGAAGCACGCTTGGTACGGCCTAAAAGAAGCGGGGGGGTTGGGGGGGGGCGCAGCCCCCCCCCACTTGCAAACACCCTGCTCACATGATGGGCGTCAACAAGTTTCTTGGGCTTTGAAGCGCGCTCTCACGGTCTTGCGCCAGAAATGATGCAATAGTCTGGCTGTCGTCAGGTCCTTGCTCATGACTCTGCGTTCTGACCTCACCTACTCGCAGCTCCCGTGAGCATGCTTCCCAAACCTAAACCTAAACCCTATCATGGTCTTGCCTCAATCATGACGCAATAATCTGGCATGCCTTCCGACCCCTAAACCCCCTAGACATCACGGTCTTGTGTCAGAAACGATGCCATAGTCTGGCTGTCGTCAGGCCCTTGCTCATGACTCTGCGTTCTGAGCTCACCTACTCGCAGCTCCCGTGAGCATGCTTCCCAAACCCTAATAAGCCTAAACCCTAGACATCATGGTCTTGCCTCAGCAATGACGCAGAAATCTGGCTGTTGCCCGGTCGCATGCCTTCCGAACCCTAAACCCCTAGACATCACGGTCTTGCGTCAGAAATGATGCAATAGTCTGGCTGTCGTCAGGTCCTTGCTCATGACCCTGCGTTCTGACCTCACCTACTCGCAGCTCCCGTGAGCATCCTTCCCAACCCTAAACCTAAACCCTAGACATCATGGTCTTGCCTCAATAATGACCCTAAACCCCCTAGACATCACGGTCTTGTGTCAGAAACGATGCCATAGTCTGGCTGTCGTCAGGTCCTTGCTCATGACTCTGCGTTCTGAGCTCACCTACTCGCAGCTCCCGTGAGCATGCTTCCCAAACCCTAATAAGCCTAAACCCTAGACATCATGGTCTTGCCTCAGCAATGACGCAATAATCTGGCTGTTGCCCGGTCGCATGCCTTCCGAACCCTAAACCCCTAGACATCACGGTCTTGCGTCAGAAATGATGCAATAGTCTGGCTGTCGTCAGGTCCTTGCTCATGACCCTGCGTTCTGACCTCACCTACTCGCAGCTCCCGTGAGCATCCTTCCCAACCCTAAACCTACACCCTAGACATCATGGTCTTGCCAATAATCTGGCTGTTGCCCGGTCGCACGCCTCCGAAACCTAAACCCCCTAGACATCACGGTCTTGCGCCAGAAATGATGCAATAGTCTGGCTGTCGTCAGGGGCCGCAGCCCCCCCCCACTTGCAAACACCCTGCTCACATGATGGGTGTCAACAAGTTTCTTGGGCTCTGA